ACGTCTCCACACAGTAAACAAAACAAGCGTTTCCTAGCAACGACAACTGCACTAAACACTAATGAGACAAGTAAATACACTTACGAGCTGCTTTTAACTTCCGCTGATAAAGACTGCTTCTCTCAAAGACTATTTTTTTACACAGTTTTCTGCTGGCGCTTGAACACACTTTACTTATTTTCTCCACAACAAATGGCCAAGCAAGCGCAGACACTGACAAGATACGCGATACAGAACGAGACCAAACGCGATATCAGCACGTCTCCAATATCACGATATCAAGCACGATATCAAGACTTAATGGTGTTATTTAATCTGCCAAACATTAACAATTTTTATTACATTGTACTATGTTATTAATTAATGGTTAGGTTATTAATGAAGTGAATAATGATTCCCAAGAAATAAACATTATTAGTTCCAGTAGTTCAGTGATTGCATGCTGTTATTGATGGATTGTAATAGTGTCTTTGGAAACCGGTGACACTTATCGGTCTATGAAATTTGAGTAATTGTTATGATGTTCGGGTGGTGAAGAAATACTACTACTGGTCTGATACTTCATTGAAACCTCACTAAAATGTTGGTAAACTGCTCAGCACTGCCAGAACAAAGGCACACATGACACGCACAACTCAAAGACATGCGTAGAGAACTCCGGTGGCATCTCTGCATAATGAACAAGAGTGCCATTCACAGTATCCGTACCCATATAAATTAATAACTGCTGCTTTTTTCAAAGCTGGATGACAATTACGTGTACATAAAAAGTAATACAGACTTTTAGAGGAAAACAAAATCCTGCTTATTATTATACCTTGTGCCACACCATATAAACTATTTGCAAATCCAAACGGTTCATCAACTTGTAAGAAGATTGGAACTGTTGCTCTGCCTCTTCTTTTTTCCTTTTTTTTTTAAATTAGGGTACAGAAGCTCAAGATCAATTAGGCCTACAGCCAGTAAGCTCCGAAAAGAAATACAAACCCTGTGCTAATTGAAAGAAAACACGTTGATAAAAAACACTGAATCCAATATTTGATAACAGCGTAAAGAGAAATTTATAAGCAGTTATGTGTAGGCTGGTCATTTTTGACTGGAAACACTTTACATGTTAACACAGTGGGGGGAAAGTTCCAATAAAGTACAAAACTTATCAAAATGCATTTGGGAAGTTGTTATTCCCTGTGTAAGCAAAGTCAGTTTTAATCCAATATAATAACATAAAAAAAAATCCTCTCCAGGTCTAAATGATCGGAAAACACAACATAAGGGTTCATTTGAAAAGGAGATAATTGTTCATAAGAAATTTAGATAATTCAGAGTTTATATGCAGTTGTATAAAATGTGGCTTTATTGAAATACTCCCAAGACCACTTCAGCGTTAAATTGAGCAGCTGTTATATTATCATGAAGCTGATGTTTATTAACATCACATCTCGTCCAACATCTTTGGGAAAGTTCACAAGAAAGCATTGAGCATATTTATTTTCCTGTAATGTTCTCGATGAGTTTCAACAAACTGCACTCCAGGTATTTGAATAAAGGGGCAAAATTAAACCATACTCTACAAGAGAGTAAATCTTGTCTGATTTTTCTACTGGCATTTTTTTTTTAAATCTGTGTAAAATACATTATTTTCCTTAAACAACAACAACAATAATAATTATTGATCACCTTACATACAAGATTAAAATGCTTACTAACAAGTGCAAATGTAACACTGAACTACCTGTATCAAGCATGTCTTTAAGCATGTCACTTGAACATCATGTTACTTAAAATTGAACACAAAGACTTTATAAGAAAACTTTACTGTATAAACAATTACGCACTCAATACATAGCCAATTTTTTAATGTATGTGAAATAAAGAAACTGTGAACTTGACTAATCCGTCCATTGTAAGAAGAAAAACACAACCACAAAAAAAAAAAAAAAAAAAAGACAGTGATTTAACTCTCAGTGCTCATGCAAAACACAGTCATGAACAGTCAAGGTCTTTGGAAAGCTCTGATGATCTCTGAGGTTTTGAACAAAGAATCACTGCATGAAAAGAGTAATTTCCAGGATAAATCTGACACTGGAAATTTCAGTGAAATTTAAGGGGTACGACGCGTGTACGAAAACAAACCGTCAAAGACTATAGATATACAAACACGGTCCACTCACATTACTATGAATAGGGAAAAGTGCAATGCTCAATATGGCCACCATAGCGAAGGAAGTCCCGCCTTCCAGTCAAAACAGCCAATCGTCAATCTTTACAGACTGGCGGTTCTTTGGGGGAGGGGCTCTGTACAGATTCGCTTCGGAATTGAGTTTGACACCCCTGGTTTAACTGCATGTAAGATTTTATATGGTGAGTATATGGTCTTCGCTTAGAACAGTGTTTCTCAACCCTGGTCCTGAGCGCCCCCCAACACTGCACATTTTGTATGTCTCCCTTATCTGACACCCATTTCAGGTTCTGGAGTTTCTTTTAATGAGCTAATGAGTTGAATCAGGTGTGTTTGATTAGGGAGACACACAGAATGTGCAGTGCTGGGGGGCGCCCAGGACCAGGGTTGAGAAACACTGGCTTAAAAATTTGTAATAATAAATGTATTTACATTGTTATTGAGGTACAAAATAAACAGGAAAAAAATGTTCAGCAGTTTTATTAAATATTTTGCACGACATGACAAGAACTGTTTATTATCAATCATAATGCAAAGAACATCCACATCACATCCCATCACATATCGAGTCCTTTCAGTGTCGTCCTCTGGTCTTTGCTCCGGTTCTGTCTCTGTTCTTCCAGTGTTTGTAACCACGTCCTCTGGTTACCATTGAAACAGCAGTAAAGGAGATTGGTGTCGTGAAATAATTGCAAATCTTTGCGCATGCGCAATAGCTGGAGCAAACTGGAAAACAAACATGTTTTTAAACGTAATTAGAGCTTAAGCAACAAAAGTAATGGGACAGGTCACTTCAGATTTTGTTGCTGATTTGAAATATGTAATTTGATTGAGAGTTCAGCAAGCAGTTTTTGAGATTTCAGGATTCCCCCATTCATTTAGATAGGACCTGGTCTTGGATGAGCTGCCCGGGGGCGTTGCAAATATGGCCGCCGAGTGAACAGACTTTCCTTGAAAGGGACTTTGGTCCTGTACACGTCCATACACTTGAGATGATTTTTGGATACAGGATCTTTCTGATTGCACACACAAGACGTGTTTAGAGATTTCCAGTATACCAGCCCTTATGAAAATTAACCATGGTTTTATTATAGTAAAGGTGTAGTTACCATGTTTTTTGGCAGATTGATTGCCAAATGTATAATGACAGTTTTACTACAAATACCATGGTTAATTTATGGTTATCATAGTTTAACTATACAATAACCATGTTTTTTTTTATATGTACCATGGTTAATTGTCGTAAGGGAGCAAGCGCTATCATGTTTTTCGGGGTGTTTATCGGTTAAAAATTAATCAAACAGTCCTTTTAAATTCGTAGGCTAGTTCCAAATTGAATTAATCTAAATGAGTCTTTTGATTAACAGAATTGCAAAATTTTAGTGAGATTAATAAAAAAGTTAGCTGTTAGTAAAATATACGTTTATTAGTTAATGTTATTGATCAGCTGATTTCTGATTCACGTGAGACAGCCTTGGAGGAGAAATATTGTGTCTCAGTGACAATTTATTAATATATCAATTTTCAGTGCAGTTTATATTTCACTCCTTTTGTTCGTGCTATGTTCTAATTTAAGTGCAGAAATCTATCATGTGTTGTTTTATTAGGATGTGATTTATTGTATATATAATAATCTAATATATATAATGTTTTTAGGTCAGATAGCAAATGCTGCCATTCTTCTGGAAAACTGCTGATCTTCAAAGAACAGCCATCAATCAGGTAACTTGTACACAGAAAGAGTTTTTGAATACCATTCAATTACCCAAGTTATTCAATTATTGTTTTATTAGGATGTGATTTATTGTATATATAATAATCTAATATATATAATGTTTTTAGGTCAGATAGCAAATGCTGCCATTCTTCTGGAAAACTGCTGATCTTCAAAGAACAGCCATCAATCAGGTAACTTGTACACAGAGAGTTTTTGAATACCATTCAATTACCCAAGTTATTCAATTCAATTCAAGTTTATTTGTATAGCGAGAAAATTAAGTTATCATATACTTTATTCCGTTACTAAATTTGCAAGACAGCACTTTGACTAGCTTTGATTTTTTACTATTCTTAATGAAATTTATTTTAACAAAGTTTGGGAGAAACATTTTCAGATAATACAACCAATTAGCATCAGAGGAAGTCTCTATATCGCCGCTTTTCTCACCTTCATTCCCAGAGGACAGCAGGCCAAATATGCTGATTCCCTCTATTATATAGTGGGTATAGAAAAGAATCGCCCCCTTAAAAATTATGCAGCCTGAAATGAAGACATACAGTTTTTGTTTTATCCAGCTGTATTAACTCCGTGCAACTTATAACATCCAAGTGAAAGATATAACACCAAAATGTCAGAAAAAAAACAAAAAAACAATCACAGAGTTGGAAAAAGGATCACCCCCTTGTGTCAGTATTTTGTTGAACCATCTTTTGCTTTAATTACAGATGTAGTCTGTTGGGATATGTCTCTGTCTCTACTAACTTTGCACATCTAGACTTTGCAATATTTGCCCACTCTTCTTTGC